CTGAGACACTGAGTCAAAGAGGTCCTACACCATCCTCTTTGCCCAAGGACTGGTGAGTGCATTTGGGGCCCTCTCTGGATAAACTAATCCTTTGTTAGGGTCTCTGGCACCTGCTTTCAATAGCTGGTGCCATTTGGGGGCTGTCTGGGATGCTGTGGCACCTGAACCCATGGACAAATGGCAGGTGGGCATATTGTCAACATCTGTTGGAGGGAAGGGAGTGGGAATGTACCTTCAAGGCTGTACAGGCAAGCTCTGGGGACTAGATTCTCTTGTCAATGGCAAAGTTCTGCCATGGATCAGAGAGGAGCCAAGTGGTTGTGTAAATCAATACTGTTCATTGATCTTTTAGAACCAAATTGAGAACATTTTGCTTTCTTGTTCAATTGCAGCCACACTCCTTAGTCTAGATGTCAGACATAATTTTCCACCCCGGGTGCCCTCCATTCCTGGCTCTTGATCTTTACTGTAATAGTTCTGGTGTATTTGTATCTTTCACATGAGCAGCCTCAAACCCTCTGGAAGGAAGAGAGTTGCCATTCTTTTGAAAGACAGTGAAGATGCTTCCTCATTGAACACTTAGATTTCCTTTTACTTGGGACACTCTTGGTGTTAGTGTTAGGAAATGGTGAAATTGTTAATGAACTGGATCAAGATGTCATTGCTTTTTGTTGTTGTTGTTGTTAGGTACTGTAGAGTCATTTCCAATTCCTAACAATACCATGTGATGAAGAAGAACTGTTCCATAGGGTTTTCTAGTCTATAATCTTTACAGGAAGATACCCGGGTGGCATGGTATGTTAGGCATTGGGCTGCTAACTACAAGGACAGTTTAAACCCACCAGCTGCTCTGTGGGAGAAAGATGAGGCTGTCAGCTCCCATGAAGATTTACAATCTTGGAGACCCTAGATAGGGTGGCTATAAGTCAGAATCAACTCAAAGGCAGTGGGTTCATTTTGGTTTGGTAATCTTTACAGGAGCAGGTCTCCAGATGTTTCTCTGGTGAAGCCGCAGGGTAGGTTCAAACCACCAAGTTCTCAGTTAGCAACCGAAAGTTTAGCAGTTGCACCCGCAGAGCATCTCATGTCATAGCTTACGGATTCTCAAATTACGAAGCAGAATATTTAGAAAATGTTGAAGATTTTTACCTAGATGTTCAAAAGGGGCCTTGTTGGGGCACTTGAGGCTTAACTTCTGTTGTAAGCAGAAGGAGCATCTGCAGAATTCTCTATGTGTTTTTGGCAGGAAGGTGCCAGCTAATGTTGAGCAATTGCCCATTCATCTGACCTCAAATGTACTGAATCACAGAAGTAGCTGTGAAGCATTGCAAAAAGTGAACGGGTATTCATAATGAGAGATAATATACTCTGAAATGCTTTTGGAGTCATTGAAGAGTCGTCAGGGATGCTACTGAGTTCACGTTAACATTTCAGTCAGTGAATTTCAGCTTCTTAGAATGGCTGTGTGGAACGTGTCTGCCAACAGCTATTTTATCCTTTGTTGCCCAAACTCTTATCTTAACTCCATTCTTAAACTGGGTAATTCTGGTTGTTTACCATCTTTGTCTGTGGAATTTTGCAACTCCAAGGATTAGGTTTTCATAGCAAAAGCCCCATAACCCAACCCTGGGGCCCAGTTACGACACCTATTGTGTCTCTTGGTTATCCTCCCCACCCCCACCCCCACTTCAGTGCAATTAGCTTTGTTTTGAATGAGCAGGGAGTATTTGCTATTACTTGCTCCCCAATTTCTGTCCTCTTTACTAGGTATTTTCAACTTCCTGAAATCACTGTGTGCACAGGGAGGTGCCAATCAAGCAGATGCTCCTATGACAAAGAGGGAAAACAGCCCAGTTTTTTTGGAGCTGTTTCCTGCGTGCAGGTGATGGATTCTGAAGTGTCCCATGAGTAGGGAACACCATGAATAGAGTATTGTATGTGGGCAGCTGTGGCGTGGAACACAAGGAAGTCTGCTGGCCTGGGAACTGGGATACTCATTCTGAAGTGCCCACTCAGAAATTAATTTGATAAAGGGTCCTCTGCTGACTGGACTTGTCTCTGTGGTTGTCAAATGGGGATAGTGATCTCTGCTCCAGAAGGTGAAAGTGATGGTCCAGGGGCTGGGAACCATGTGGATTGGTCCTATGGAGAATGGGCAGGAGGTCAGGAGACAGAGGGAGAGCTTAGACTAAGAGGAGGGGCTTGGGCTTTGCTCTGGAGGCAGTGAGGAACAAGGGCTTCTGGAAGAGGAGTGAGGTGACAGTGAAGCCTGAATGTGCCAAATCTTTAAAAGATCAACAACATAGAAGGCAAGAAAGCACAGGTAGCAACTGGTAGACTAAAAGAGCAGTGGGTTTTGGAGCTCTTTGTCAAGGGACTCTCCTTGCCTTCAAAGGTCTACCTGCTTAACCAATTCCACTGCCTGAGGTGCAGGGTAGACCAGGTTGGGAGAGGAGAGCCACCTGTAATATGGTGTGATGAAGGTCTGAGGAGCAAAGACTTAGGTCAAACGCAAACTTTCTCTAAAGCATTCCTTATGTGGATGAAGGAGCCCTGCTGGGTTAAGTGTTGGACTTCTAACCTAAAAGTAGGTGTTTCAAACTCACTAGACTCTCCGCAAGAGAAAGATTAGGTAGTCTGTTTCTGTAAAGATTTACAGCCTCAGAACCTCTATGGGGCATTCTAGTCTGGTCCTATAGGGTCACTGTGAGTCGGAATTGATGTAATGGCAATGGAGTACTTTGGGTTTTGTAGATAAAGCTGGTCACAAGGGGAAACCTTTGGGGACAGATACCATGTTCCAGTCTGCTCCCTAGCTCCTGTCTTTACTGGAATAGTAGAGGCTGAGCCCTGGTGGCACAATGGTTAAATGCTTAACTGCAATCCAGAAGGTTGGTGATTCAAACCCACCAACGGCTTTGTGGAAGAAAGACCCATAGAGATGGCAGCCTATGGTACAGTCCCACTCTGCCGTACAAGGTCTCTATGAATTGGAATTGACTCAAGGGCACACAGCAACAATAACAAATACTTGCAGGGTAAGAGGACGTAGGCCTGGCACAAGATAAGAAATAACAATAAGAGCTGCCTAGAAAAAAGACCAACTGGCACTGGCAGTAGGTGTGTGCATGGCAGGTATGTGTGTTGTGGGGGAAGGGGGAGGGCTAATGATTGAGGCCTTGTCAGCTCTGGAGGTGCAGGAGTCTCAGACTTCAGTCAGCAGCCTCTGGTGGTGCTCCCACTGGAAGCCCAGTGCCAGAGAATGATAACCAGAGAGCACAATTAAGCCCAGAAAAGGAAGGTGGGTTCTGTCTGAACTCAGTCTTCAGGAGGCCTGGGGGTGGGGCAGAATGGTGGAATATAGGGTGATCATGGGAAAGGAGGGGTTCTGCCCCTCTCTGGGGTTAGTTGGGCTTCTAGACAGGTCTGCATCCCCTGCTGAGAGGGGGGTGGTCTATGGGAGGCCCAGTTTCTGGGTGGTTTAAGTCTCCTTGCTAGCCTTTCCCATGCATATGAGGCAGGTCTAGGTTGGCAGCTGTGGCAGGTTCTTCCCCTGCTGACTGCTCCCCTAATTGCCAAGCAGTGTCAGCAGGCCCTGATTAAGGCTAATTGTGAGACCTATGAGTCTTCTGCCATCCTGCCTCCCCAGGCTCCCAAGTCTCCTCCAGGACTCAAACACCTCAGTGAAATCCAAGGATCTGGAGCAAAATTTACAACCTCCCTCCCTTCCCTTCATCTCCACACAAAAGGAAGACCAGACCGACAGGCCTGTCTTCAGAGAGGTCTAACATTAGACAATCCCAGCAAGATTGCATGGAGACTTCCCTCTGGGCCAGGCACTTACTATGTACTTCATGTGCCTCAGCTTGTCTAATCCTCACAAAGACCCTATACAGGAGGGATAGTCACAGTCACAATTTAAAGATGGGGAAACAGGAGTCCAGAAAAGAAAAGCCACTTGTCCTGGGACATCCAACTGGTGATGTCAGAGCCTGAGCTGTTTCCCCTGCTCCCTACTCTCAGCACCACGGTGGGGTGGGGTGCGTGTGGCTTAGGGACACTAAATGGAGGTGCTTGCTCCTCCCCTCCCCCTTGTGGCCTGAATTCCACCTAGACTGGTTATAGCACAAGACAGTTTTGCCACTCTCAATAATTTTCTGAGCGATCCTCTGAGGTCAGCAGGATAGCTTTATCATGCCCATTTTATAAATGGAGAAAATGGGGTCAGTTTGTGGTTAGCTAAGACAGGTCATGAACCCAGGTCTGTTGGACTTCCAGAGTCTGTTGGTTTTTTTGCCCCCTACCTACAGTAGCGTAGTGGTTACGAATCAGGCTGCGAGCCTCAGGGACAGCAGTTCGAAACTACCAGCTGTTCTGCGGAAGAAAGATGAGGCTTTCTGCTCCCGTAAACTTTTGCAGCCTTGGAAACCCTGTACAGGGTCGCTATGAGTCGGAACCGACTCCATGGCACATAACAACAACAACAACAACAACCTACAGTTTACAATAAGAAGCTCTGGTAGCATAGTGGTTACGAATCAGGCTGTGAGCCGCAAGGTTCGAAACTACCAGTTGTTCCGCGGGAGAAAGATGAGGCTTTCTGCTCCAGTAAAGATTTACAGTCTCGGAAACCCTGTACAGGGTCACTATGTGGCGGATCTGATTCCATGGCACACAACAACAACAACAATAGTTTCCAATGGAGTCCTGGTGTGCTGCTGTGGGTTAATGTGCCAGACTGCAAAGCCATTTGAACTGCAAGATCGGTGGTTCAAGCTCACCAGCTGCTCCTCGGAAACCCTATACAGGGTTGCTATGGGTCGGAACTGACTCCACGGCACTTAACAACAACAACAACAACAGTTTCCAAGGACAAGGACCAAGGCTTGTCAAGGAGCTGAAGACAAGGCTGTACCCAGTCCGCAAAGGACATCTCCATGACTATGGCTGCACCTGACCCTCCCTCCTGTCATTTTCCAGGTACCATCTAAGAGTGAAGGATGTTGCTTTGGGTGTTCTTCCTTGTGATCCTCACCCTTAGCAGTGGCTCCCACTGCTCCACACCCTCGCTGCCCCTCAGGTAAGCAGCTTTTCCAATATGACCTGGGTTCCTGGTTGCCCCCAAGCCATATGGGGTTGAGGATACAAAACCAAGCCATCAGAGAGTCCCCAGCTGTCTCTAGATAGCACCCACTATCCATTTCTGAGATGGGACAGACGCTGAGCTCCAATGAGGCCACCAAGACCCTCAGGGGCTGAGTCTGTCTGAAAATGAGCAGGACAAGGAGAAGGACCTTGCAGAGATATGGCAAATGTAGCTCCCACTGTCCCCTCACCTGGCTCCAGCCCCTGCCCTCTGACTTCCTGCAGGATGCAGCGATATGCAGATGCCATCTTTACCAACAGCTACCGGAGGGTGCTGGGCCAGCTGTCTGCCCGCAAGCTACTCCAGGACATCATGAGCAGACAGCAGGGGTAAGCTGAAGTTCTCATGGCTTCTTCCACACCTCTGTGTATCATTTTGACAAAGTTTGGTGTCTTCCCTTGTACAAGACGAAAAAACCAAACCCATTGCTGTCAAGTCAATTCCAAATCAGAGACCAGACAGGACAGAGTAGAACTGTCTCAGGGGGGTTCCAAGACTGTTGAGCTTTATGGAAGCAGATTGTCATATCTTTCTCCTGTGGAGTGGCTGATGGGTCCAAACCCCTGACTTTCCAGTTAGCAGTCGAGTGCTTAACCAGGGCTCTTTTTTTTTCCTTGTATGTTGTTGTTAGGTGCCGTTGAGTTGGTTCTGATTCACAGAGACTCTATATAGAGTTTCTGAGGCTGTAAATCTTTATAGGAGTAGAAAGCTTCATCTTTCTCCTGTGAAGCAGCTGGTGGATTTCTACTGCCAAACTTGTAGTTAGCATTCCAGTGTTTATCCTACAATACCACCGGAACTCCCTTCCTTTGTATGTTGTTGTTGTTAAGTGCCATTGAGTCAGTTCCAACTCATAGTGACCCTGTATAGGGTTTTTAAGGGGTGCCTAATGAATTTGAACTGACAACCTTATGGCTCAAACCAACCTTGTGGTCCAGTGCTTACCCTATAGCACCATAATGGCCTTTCGATAGCAGAAGGGGTCCAATGTCAAACCGTAGCTTCCCTCTAACTATTAAGTGCTCAGTGTCTGTGCTTCTCCTTAGGCTAGGCTCCAGCAATAACTACACAAGAGTAGCTATGATTCGATCATGATTCCATACCAGGTTCTGCACTGGGATATTGACATCCACTTGGCTTTGCTAAGTGTTCACCATTATTATATTTGTATTGATCTTTGTAACATTTTCATATCAATCTTTGTAATCACCTTACAAAGCAGGTAATTTTAGCTCCATTTGTTTTAAGGTTTTAATGTGAATTGAGTGATAATTTACAGAGCAGATCACAGGTTTTGCACTCAACCAATCATATTTTGTTTCATTGCAATGATTATAATCCCCTCCATGTACCATCAGTTAACAGTATTTCTATCTACTTTAGCTTTTTAAAAAACACACGAACAAAAAAACCCACTCAGGCAT